GTCATCAGACATTTTTAAACTTAATAACATTTCTGTATGTCTTCTCAAAACTCCTCATTTAGTGTTTCAACAACTCAAGTGGGTCCTGACCCAAACTCTGAACCACTGGTTCAGAAAACACCTGGATTATCCATCCATCCATCATCCATCATCCATCATCCATCCATCCATCATCCATCATCCATCATCCATCATCCATCCATCCATCCATCCATCATCCATCCATCCAGGACTGTCTAGTTTTGTATCTGAAACATTCATAGACCTAAATTAGGGAATAACTGGTAATTTGTGACAATAAGCTTGCTTTTGCCAAATCCATTTAAAATCAGAAACATGTTATGTTACAAATTGCAATAGTTTATTATTGTTTATTGCACTTTTATTTGTGTATATCCAACATTTAAAGTAGAGTTTTAAACGTTTCATCCTGGTGACTATCACACTGTTCCTGTGAAACAAAAGTTGATTAGATATAATGTTGTAGCTTAAGAAAGACTTTGTAACTTACAGGAAACTGTTTTTTTTTCTACCATGATCCATGAATTATACAACATCCAGAACTGTTGTGTCACAGTTACTCACTCCTGGGCTTGCGTCACATTTATTTCATTAAGTTTGACACACTTGGCTTTATCAGCAGGATATTGGTTCACATTTCAAGACGAAGTCAGACGAAGCCGACCTCTTTATCTTTGGGGAAACAATAGTGTTGGGCAACTTGACGGCAGTCTCCACTCCAGCTCTGTCTCTGCCACTTTTGCTCCAGTTATGTTCTGCAAATAAAGGCAGACCTTGTCCTAGATTCTGGGAGACGGATCAGAATGAACTTTAAAAGTAGGTGAATTTAGACTTTTTCTTGCCTGTTGGTTTCTAACCGGACAACAAGCTATGAGGAGCTATCTGAGTCTTTCTGCACGTATTTTTTAAATAAAAAGAGAAGAGAAAACTCCATAAAAATATTCATTTTCAAGTGTTAATTAAATAATAGCATCTTTAAACCGTTTAAAAGGACTCATTAGTCCATTTGAATCATTTTGTCAATTGGTTATTAATGAGGAGCAGCTTTTTTTTCAAGCATCACCTGGAACAGATTTCTATGAAAATAATGATTGGGGTAAATTTTGACCAGATTGGTCACTCTTGATTAGGAGAAGGTGGACAAAGCCAAAAGCCGAGATGAATCGGGACACGGTTAGTAAAAGCTGATAGGATGTAAATTACGAAGCATATCAAGATCCGTCTTTTGTTGGTGGAGCTGGAATGATGAAAAGGATGATGAAAGGCTGGGGTGAAAAGCTGAAATGCATTGGTGGGGTGCTGTTTAAAATGTCCTTCATTTCAACAAAATGATTATTGGGGATACTTAGCAGCTTTCACATTAAAATGATTAAGGTCTCATTGAAAAACTAAGAGCTGGTGTGTCTGCAGCCGGTGGGAGGCCTGGAATTAAAGGCTTTGGTGGCAGAAGAATCATGCAGCTAAAAAAAAACCCTTCCAGACTTTGCTGCTTCTGCTCACGTTCAGGTAGCTTCTGCTGCAAGGACACTCATTTTATAACCAGATGTGAGAACAAACTGAAATTTTCTGATGCCTATTTTTTTTAACAAACCGTCAACAGCTCCGTCATGTGACCTGGCTCAGGTGAACGTCGTGAAGAAATGCCCGATAAAGCATAAACTGCAAAAATGTTTTAAAATAAGTTTTGTTTGATTTAAATAAAATGAGTGACGACGAGAGAAAGTGAGCGTAATGTTTGGGTGTCGTATAGGGAGAGTAAAATCAGACAGATTATTAATTGTTTACAAGCCTTGTAAAAAATACTTTCAAATGTAAAGTTGAACATGACTTTCTGTTCATTTTGCTGCTGGATTATACAGAACAGCTGATGTGAAGAATTGACTTGATTAAGAGGAAAATGAAAGAAAACGAACCCTAATTATAGACGTATAACTTCACTGTAAAACCTTTATTCATCCTGCAGCATTTCAAATTGTCCTGTTTTATCCTGTTATCAACGTAATACAAACTTCACACAAAAGTTTTTTTCTGTTAGGCTGTGTGCCAAAACAAATTTTTGTTGTGCAACAAATCTGGGCTTTACACACAGACACACAGATCAATATTTCTTCCTATTACCTGTTAAAAAACTTCTGGGAGACTTTTACAGTTTGGGGTCCCTGTCCAGCTGTTCTGTATGAAGTCATTTAGTAACTTTTCTGTGTAATTTGAACCAGCTGCTCCTGTTTTCTGTCACTTGTTTATGAAACATAAGTCAGCACCACTGGATGTTGTGATGTCATCAACCACACTCAAAAAAACAGATGTGGTGGATTTGATTTAAAAAAAATCATAACTGTTTCTACTCACTTTGTTAACTTTACATTTGTCAGCATAAATTACTGTAAATGTGCTACATTTACTTAATTCAGTTGAGTGGAAACAGTTACCATATTTCTTAATTAAATCCATTATATCTGTTTTTTGAGTGATGCTTTTTACAGATCATGCTTGCAGGATTGCAAGATTTAATCTGTGATTCAGAGTCATATCGATCTTAATGTCTGGATATTTTTTTATGGTTTTCAACAAAACCTCTTCTGGACTTTTAAGAATCAGAAATATTGGCACGTTGTAGTCAATCTTCATGCAGTTTTGTCTTCACGGTTGACTTAGACAATGATATGTGTACCTGCTGAGCGTTTGCTTTACTTGGCTAGGTAACATGATGGGATAATTTTGCATGGAAAGGATTCTTTCCCAAACTAAGATCAGACTCTGCCATTAAAGTTCTTTATAACTGTAAAAGACAATTAAAAGAACCAAAAGTGGGTCGTGTCCAGCAATCTTTGTGAACAAACCCATTTATTAGACAAGCTTGATTAAAATTAGCCCTTTACCAGTGATTTAATTGGTTTTTATGCAAATAAAATGACTATAGTGATACAATTGCACCATTATAATAAACCCATGAAGCTGGTAGCAGCTGTTGTAGCTGGAGGGGTGACACTGAGGATGTCAGGAAGCTCTGGGATCCCGTTTTGTCCTCACTTCATTCATACACATCCGTCTCTCAGGGGACAGAGAGACACTCAATCATCCCCGGCAAGTAGGCCATCTTTCCCTCACTCCACCCGCTCTGGTTAGAAGCTGGAACCGACTGAGTCACAGCAGTGGAGACATGGGTGCTGTTAAAGGGTTAGTTCAGATCTTTTTGTAGTGGGGACGTGTGGAAACGTTACGAACAGTTAATATGTTACCTGAAAGGCTCATTATCACACACCGCCAAAAGCGAGACATGTTGCCTATGTCTGTGTTCATTTGTCTGTAGTGTTAGTAAAATATCTCACGATCAGCTGGATGGAAACTAATCATTAGTTGTTCATCTACGACTCATTAATGTTTGGAGTCAGCCCAAATCAAGATGGCCGCCACAGCCAACACAAAAGTAACTACAGCTGTGGCTGTGTCCAAAACGACAGGCCGGGTCCTCCGGAGGACCCAGACTACCCGATCGAGGTGGGCCGGGTCCTTGGTAGACCGGGAAGACCGGAAAAAAAGAGGCTGTGAATTTGGACGGTCTAGCATCTCGTCCTTATGTCATGCCACCTAGCAACTGTGACAACACTAAACAAGCAAACAAATCAAAATTAGAAAAATATCAATACATTAGCATTATTAATATCACAAAACTACAAAATTAACTTAACGGTAACATTTGAAGAACTAATTGA